TATAAAGACATAAATAAACCAGCGACTGTATTCGCCATGACACAGGCAGTCTGTGGTTTGTACTTGTTTAACTTTTGTCTAGTTTCTGAACATATATGAGGAGCTGTGAGCTTGAGTGCTAACAGCTAACAGGCTGATGTTGTTTTTCTGGGGTGCTCATTGAAGATGACGTCACGGCTCCGCCTACACTGCGTTACTATAGATACTACCCCAGTTCCTAAACTGTAATGGAAGCGCAGCATTAAAGTGAGCTGAGCCTAACAAGGCCTAACAAGGCCTAACAACATCCCCTTCCACTGCTACGCCGACGATGTACAGATATATCTGCCACTCAATTCAAATGTAAACTCATTACAGCTATTGATGGACTGCTTAGCAGAGATCAAATCCTGGCTGAGCCAAAATTTCCTCAACCTCAATGAGAGCAAGACTGAGGTTATCTTTTTTGGACCCCAACCTCTAACCTCCCAGGTTGATATTCTGGGCTCCCTCAAAAATAATATCCTCCCCTCTGTCACGAACCTTGGAGTGACCTTCAATAGCGCTTTTAAATTCGATAAGCAGGTCAGCACCGTAGTCAAAACCTGCTTTTTTTAAATACGACTATTGGCCAAGATCAAGTCGTTTTTATCTTTTAAAGACCTGGAAAGGGTTATTAACGCCTTTGTTACCTCGAGGTTGGACTACTGCAACGCTCTGTACGTGGGTATGGACCAGGCATCAATTAAACGCCTGCAGCTAGTGCAGAACGCAGCTGCACGTCTACTCACTGGCCACAAAAAGCGTGACCCCAATTCTGGCCTCAATTCGGTTCCGAATTGATTTAAAAATCCTTTTATTTGTTTTTAAAGCACTAAATGGGCTGGCTCCGGCCTATATAGCTGAACTCCTCCAGCGCTACACCCCAGCCAGAGCTTTAAGGTCTGCTGACCAGCTGCTGCTGGTAGTGCCCAAGACCAGGCTCAAAACCTGAGGGCACCGAGCCTTCGCAGCAGCTGGCCCGAGGCTCTGGAACACTCTGCCCCTCCATGTGAGGTCGGCCCAGACCCTAGGGGTTTTTAAATCTTCTCTTAAAACACACTTCTTCTCCCTGGCCTTTAAGTCAGAGCGGAGCACGACTCCTGACTTTTCCCTGTGTTTTTTTATATATCTGTTGTAATGTATTGTCTTTTATTGTGATTGTAGTAATGTGTTTTTATGTGATTGTAGTATTTATTACATGTACAGCACTTTGGCCCGACCAAAAATCGCTTTTAAATGTGCTTTATAAATAAACTTTGATTTGATTTGATTTGACTAACAAAACTGTACTAAGTCGAGCGAGGCCTGCAGTGGAAATGCGCCATTAGAGTTTTACTCGCTACAGGGTGTACTTTGAGGGTTTTTGACTCAGCAGACCGTTTACATGCAGAAAAACCTTCATAACACACAAGGGGACGGGTAATAACCGGAAAAGCATGACATGGGACCTTTAAAGGCGAGTGGATTTATGGCAGGCAGTGAACCAACGATAAAAAGAACGGCTCTCACCAAGTACGACTCGGTTCCCTTCGTTCGTACCAAAGAGCCGTTCAAAAGAATCGGATCGTTCAAAAGAATCGGATCGTTCAAAAGAATCGGATCGTTCGCGAACGTAACATCACTATTTACTAGTCTCACTAAGTCACTTGTTAGCAACCGCCGTTTTCAAGAAACATATAAGTTTCAGGTGTTCACAAGTGGTATTCACTGAAGTCTTTAACTAAATGTGAACATCTCTTAAACTGGTATTTCAGGGATCTAACCAAAACTAAAAAAAATTAATTTGAGATGAGGGAATCAGATATGGTAAAATGCTAACTCATTTCTGGGTTTTAAGACTCATTCCTGCACCGCTCTATTAACAGCTGCTGGTGGATAGTGATTATGTAAATGTATTAGTTACTGTGCTTATAAGAACACGTTCGAAGTTACTCCACTACATTTATCGGATAGCTATAATTTGATTGTATGTACAACGTGTGTTTAGCTTTTGAGGTACCTAATAATGGATTGTTATTGTATGGAAAATATTCCATCAGAGGATATGAAGTCAAGAGCAAAGCAGTTGAAGTGTAACCAAATCCTAGTTATCCCACAGTTATCAGGCTGAGTGTGATAGGTTCTGATTGATTTTAATTGAAAATGTTACTTTACTTCAATAACTGTTCAAATATCAATCTTTCACAACAAATAATGTTCAGTCCAGAAAGTAAAAAGACATTTGAGTTTACTTAGTACTTCGTTTTTTCTTCTTACCTCTGCCAGTATTCATCTCACTAATAATCTGGGGACCCTTTGGTGGGGCCCAACCCCATATTTATATGGGGACACAATACGCAACAAATACTGTACACTGTAGGATGTCTTCGCAGTTGTTCATTGTGTGTGTGTGTGTGTGTGTGTGTGTGTGTGGTGTGTGTGTGTGTGTGTGTGTGTGTGTGTGTGTGTGTGTGTGTGTGTGTGTGTGTGTGTGTGTGTGTGTGTGTGTGTGTGTGTGTGTGTGTGTGTGTGTGTGTGTGTGTGTGTGTGCAGGTGATAGAGGACGTGAGTGTTGGAGGAGAAGGGGACACTCAGAGCTCCTTGTCTCTGATCAGATCAGACACGCTGCTGTCTGGCAGGGTGAGAACTTCTCCTTATTCCCTTTTCCCTAACTTTACACAAAAACCTTCAGACGGTAACAAATTAAAGAAAGAAAATAATAGAATGTCTCATAAAGAGTTGTTGAGTCTTATAAGACTCAAACACTAATTGCTGATTCATTCACCACATGAGATGGAGTTTTTGTACGAAGTCAGATTTCAGTGATTTTCATAATGTCTCGTACAAACAAGAAAAGAAAAGGCGCTTTACAATTGTTGTTTGTATATTTTCTTTATTTATATAGGCAAAAACAGAAAAATGTAAATGTTGGCCTGTTGGCTGCACTCTGGTCATGGCAAATTATAGTGTCTTTCTAAAGCATTGAGTTATATACATGACCAAATAAGTTAGACAAATGTTCAATAATAAAGTTGAAGTGTCTGTGCATGTTGTGTTTCTTCAGTCCAGTCTAGTCCAGACTGACTCTGAGGAGGAGAGAGCTTCAACTGTCTGTAGCCTCAACAAAGACAAAGGTACTGATATTGTTATTTTTTAAATAAAATGATTACGACTATCATGTGTCCATTACTTTGGTTTGTCCAAATACTTCAAACTTACTTTCGGAGCCATTCATTGTTTTGCATTATTTAATAGTTAAACTTTTATTGCTGTAAGATGTGACTTCTCAAAAGTATCAAATGTCTTTAAGGTATCAAAAGTTTCGGTGCTCATTAGGCATACTTCAGTATTGTAGTAAGTCGAGTAGGAGCTCATTTTGATCTGCGTCATAAACTATTGGTTAGTTTTATCTGTAATAATAATACACTTATTTAAAATGTTTATTTTACAAATTATTTGTATGCTCTATTAAATGATTATAGTGTTCATTTTTATTTAATTGTATATGTTTTTATTGCATTCAATTTATTTATTTGTATACATTTCCTAAGAAACCTTTCATTTTATTTCTTTACTTGTCACTTTTATTTCATTTTAAATATTTGTTTTATTAATTTGTACTTTGTACTTTTCATGTATTTGCTGTATTCATTTAACTTAAAGGTCCCATGTCATGGCCATTTCTACTAATCATAATTCCATTGTTGAGGTCTACTAAAACAGATTTACATTGTGCAATCTTCCAAACTCACATTGGTTTCTCATACAGCATCTCTGTATAGTATGTATATTCACTCTCTGTCCTAAACGGTTTGTTGGAGCTCCTGCCCCCCCCTCCCTATGAGCCCAGTGGCCGTCTGCAAGACAGCGAGACCCAGCCCGAACACACGACTCACAGCCTCGCCGCGTCTTGCCGTCTCAGGGAGGAGAAATTGGCGGAGCTGCAGCTGAGAAAAGATTGAGTGTGTGTGTGTGAGCAAGTCCGCTGATTGGTCCATTTGGACCAATCCACGGACTTAACCTAATGGCTCCGCGGACGCAAGGGCTCCACGGATTGGTCCATTTGGACCAATGGGTCCATTTGGGTATGGGCACGTCACTGTACCCAGGAAGAAAAAGAGAAATGTCCAACGAGGCATTCTGGGGCAGCATAGACAGGTCTTTTCTGTGTAAAGCTGGCTACACACCAGCCCGATTTTGGGAGTCAGAGGCCGTCAGAGGCAGTCGGGCATTCGCGGCGCCCTACTCAGGTTGGTGTGTCCCGCACCGTCGTCTCTTTACGGCACCTTTTCACACCTCCCGATGCCTCCCATGTTGAATCGGCCGCGGGAGGTCAGAGAAAGTCGACCCAAGCAATCACTCTGATTGGCTGTTCACACTACCGCTGCCTGCTGGTAAGGACAGTTATTGCCACTCGTCGACTGAAGTATTTGCGGTGTGTTCGTAGGCGGGCGGCGTAGCGGGCGGCGTAGCCGACGCAGGCGACGTAGCTGACGTAAAAGTCGGGACGCCTTCGGTACGCGTTCTTTGGTCTCAGGTGGGTGTGTAGCGGCCTTTAGAGTTTTACTCGCTACAGGGTGTACTTTGAGGGTTTGTGACTTTGCAGACCGTTTACATGCATAAAAACCTGCATAACACACAAGGGGATCGGTAATAACCGGAAAAGCATGACATGGGACCTTTCATTTCATATTTTTTTAGATGTTTTATAATTGTATTGATTCAATTTTATATGTTATATACTAAATCATTTAGTACTTATTTACTTTTTTGTAATTGTCTCTGATCTATTTTTGGGATACATCTTTTATTCTATTATATGCATAAGTTATCTCAGACGTTATTGTGTTTGATTGACAGGTTTCCTGAGCGTGCTGATGAACTGTCAGTGGCAGAGTTTACGGTGTCGGGTGGAGGCGGGTCTACTAATCATGTTTGGAGAGGAGGAGGAGGAGGAGGAGGAGGAGGAGGAGGAGGAGGAGAGGGAGGAGAGGGAGGAGAGGAAGGAGGTGAAGAGGTCGCCTCAGTACACCGTCCAGCTCAGAGGCTGTGAGGTCAGAGCGGGCCCCGACACCGACCACTCCTACAGGATCACACTGAGCATGCTCGGTGACCAGGTGGCCGTGCTGGAGGTGAGATGGAAGGCAGGAATACAGGGAACGTATTACAGATTCATTATGCATAAGGGGAGATTTATACTTTACAAATAGAACAATAACAAATGTGTGAGGTAGATCATACTAAAATGTTATAAAATACACAGTTATCTTCATTTAAATGTATATATTTTTTATTTATGTATTGTTTTTTGCTTGTATTGACCTTTTCACTTGTTTTTTTTACTTTGTATTTATATGTAGATATTCTTTATAGTTTTTATTATTTATTTTGTTTCTAATTATTCCTAGTTATTTTCTCTATTTGTGTTGCTGCAACACCTGCATTTCCCCTTACCTTATCTCTTTTTCAGTGTCTTTATATCCTAAGAAAGTACTGGTATCCTTAAAGGAAACAACAAAATAAGATTTATTTTAATTGTTACATTTACAATTTTGTATCAGTTAATCTTTGGAAGATTGGACCAATGAAATGTATTATAGAATGAGCAGTTTGCTTTTATGTATTTTAGAAATGTGCACATGTATATTGAAATGGTAATATTTATGGGTTTATGAATAAGTTGGAAGGACACCTTTTTATCCTTAGTCACGATTAGGTTTTTATGAGGAAGCAGACCCTCTTCCAATATATATAATTTACAAAAGGGTTTCGAATATGCTAGATATATGCTGTAGAGAAGACATCTCTTAAAGAAACAGGAATAATTATATTTTTATAATCTTTCTTTCATTTTTTCCTTCCTTCCTTCAGGTGAGTAGTTCAGGTGAAAAGGAGCACTGGTTAAAGCTGCTGCAGGACGGAGCTGCCAAAACTCAGGAGAACACAGATAAAGCTCTGAGGTAAAACAGTTGGTGTATGTTGTCAAAGTGTTAACATAAAAAAAAAAGTGCTATTTGTCTTTTTATGCCACACTATACGTCAAGTCGACTAAATGTATCTCAAATCTTTACTTACCCCACACCAGACCCAAGTGTAGTTTACAATAAATAAACTGTTGAGTTTGAGACTGTTGGTTGGACTAAAGAAACATTGTCACTTTGGGCTCCGGGTAATTGTGAAAGCATTTCTCACTATTTATACTTTTTTCTCAAAACCTAACCCTAACCTTCAGTCGATTGATGGGAAAATAATCAGCAGGTTATTCCATAATGAAAAGATCATTAGATATTGTTAAAATGAGCTCCACTTCAACCAACTATAACAATATAAATATTAATACTACAACTTATGTGAGACGCTGTTCTGAAAATCAGGAGTTTGCCGGTTTTATTCCCACCCCCTGAAGTCAACATGTTGAAGTGTCCTTTGGCAAGATACTTGATCCTATTTGTCGTAGGCATGTTTACAGTATTGAAATGTATGTCACTTAGGATAAAAGGGTCAGCGAAATGTAATGTAATGTAAAAGAGAAATGGTCCAAGAACAGAGCCTTGAGGCACCCCACATCTTCTTCTTGTCCTGTAGTTTTTACGTTTGTTCCCCTCTCCTCAGTGGGCTGCAGACTCAAAGGTTTCCCAACTCCAACACATACATGGACGACCCCTTCCATCTGAGTGGAACATATCAAGACCAGCCCATCTATTCCAACACCTCCATACTGGATCACATGGTACACTCCATATGGCCAAGTATTTAAGCTCCACCCAAAAACACTCCAAATTCATAATAAACAATCAATACATTCTCTGTAGTGATTGGTAAATCAGTCCTTTAATATACTCCCAAACAATCAGGGCCGGTTCTAGCCAATTTGCTGCCCTATAGGCGAGATTTTAGCTGGCAAATTAAACGTGTAACCGGGGTGAAAATTGTGTTACATTTACTTAATTATGAATGTTGTATGACATGAATGTATGTATGAATCTAGGCTGAAAATTAGGATGAGCACCAACAGTCAAACATTTTTTTTTTCTCCCAGAGCTATCAGCGCAGCGCCCCCCCAGATCTGGCGCCCTAGGCAACCGCCCTGCAAACAATAAAAAAAAACATTATGAAACTCATTATGACATTTTACACATGTATTTGGGGGTCCCTGCATCCATCTCTTTTTAAGAGTCCTGAAAGATATTGAAGACCCCTATTCTACAGTATTGGGGCAACAATTGTAATTTGAGTTAAGAATGGATTAAGTGTTAATAATGATGAAAATAACAATAATGTCAAAATAGTAAATAGATTCTTATTTATTTTTCACCCATTTTCCATTATTCTAAATATGTTTAGGTTTCCATGATTTTTGATTATGACAGCTAATGATGATAATGATCAGATTTTGTGATGTTTCAGCTTCACAGCTCTCAGGATTCAGTTCGCCCCTGCTCGGTGTCGTCTAAAGACTCTGTGACCTACAGCAACACCACATTCAGCAGCCACAGTGAGTCTCAGATGATGAATAAACTCTCTGCCAACAGAAAAAATGAAGGCCTAACCTCACTTTTATAGTTTACAGTTGATGTTCTCATTTTAAAAGGCCCTATTGGGCTTTTTAGGGCTTTCATTTTCCTGTAGTGTGTTTTTGTGCATGTTTATGGTCTGCAAAGGCTAAAATCACACACTCCACCCCCCCTGCCTGAAACGCCTCAATTGAACTATTTTGTTAACTTCCGTAACATAGTGACATCACTGCACTTCTATTGGCTAACGATCCAACACAAGATTCAACGGTTTTATTGTCACATGCACATAAGCTACAGTGTAGAAATGGCAATGAAAATCTTATGACCCGGGCTCCTCCAACAATGCAACATATATAATAAAATACAAATAAGAAATAGTGCAACAAGTCTATCTCCAGAGACCCACCCATTCATGTTTGTCCTCTGTGGAGCACATTGGGTTTTGGTCCATTACTTAGAGGTTATACATGCCACAGCATTAAGTCCAATTGTACTCCACAGAGGACACCCTGGGCTTTTCAAACATATGACATATGTGGGGGTGTGGCTTTGAAAAAGATAATTTCATCGTATTTCAAAATGGCGTCCATCAACACAAGCACTATTTATAGAAAGAGAAATTACTTTGTAATTACCTGTGTTGTGAGTTCAATATTTTTAATTAATTATAGTAAGGGAACATCTTAGGAGTTAGTGTAGTGAGTTTCAGAGCAGTGTAATAATTATTTGACCTAAAACTAAATGTTTTTATGAATGTCCTCTGAGGAGGACATGGGGATTTGCTAACTTTTTATTTCCCCCATTTTACACAACACAAATGGAGTCCACTATGGGCCAAAACTAACACGTAGGTTTCTGTAGGGTTCATAGCAGACGGATGCAGTTGGAAAACATACATCAAGTGTCAGATGTATCTCTGCATTTCAAAAAAGGATGGAGTACTACAAATGAGGGCTCAATATGTGTTGCATTGAGTTGTTGTGCTCTAATGTTGTCTAAATGTACTTGTATGTTAATGTTGTTTGTATGCTTCGCATAACTAACACCAGAGGCCTGTACTACGAAGCTGGTTCAACCTAACCTGGATATGTTGGAGTTAGCCGGTTGGCCTAAGCCAAAACATACGCGCTGGCGCTAAACTGTACTACAACGCCGGTTATCAAGTGGATCGCTCAAGCCAGCCGTGTCCTATCTAGTTAGGTGCGCGTTCACATAAAAGGGGTGGTATTTGGAGCATTCGACCAATCTCAAACACGGACAAGCGTACTGACAGCGCAGCGTCATACTTCCTGAATGAAAAGTGAACTTTAATATTAGTCAAATATGAAGAAGTTAAACTTTAAACATCCATGACTTAAACACTTTATCCAGGATAAAAGCCACATAGCTGCACCTGCAAGGTGAATACAGCTGGTAAAAGAAAAAGTGTTTGAATGCGTACATTAACAGGTTTATGAAATCACTGCCCCGTCTAGACACGATCTGACTTTAATTACATTTGACTCGAGTGTTTCGTCAACTTAATGTGTTGCTTAAAATAATACTTCTGCATACAGTATGTGACACTGTGAGTGTTGCACGGCCAGATACGGCTCAAGAAGCTGACTCAAATAAGGAAATATATGATACATTATGATGTGATATGATATGCACTCACAGTGCCGCGGACTGTACTTAATGTTACTCTGATCCGGTTACTTATGTCGTGGCAGATATTTAAGTAAGCTTTCTTAACGCTAATATTATAATAGTCAGATTGCTCTGAAGATGGGAGGGGATATTCTATTAATTTTCACGGCCGTCTTTCCTGCAACGGCAGTTTTTCTGTATTTCCTCTATCCTGTAATATGAATTGATCGCTTTAAACTCCGCACACGGAGCTCTGATTGGTCAGCAGGCGGTGCTTTCACTGAGTTGATCTCTTAGCCTGCCACCTAACCTGCTCCGGAGCAGGTTTGCCGCTCAGCATAAGTTACCATGGAAATCTAGCCTGCTAAAAAGAGAACCAGCGTCGTAGGACCGGAAAGCCCGAGATTTCCCTGAATTTAGCCGGCTAAGCGAAAATCCAGCTTCGTAGTACAGGCCTCCGATGTCCTCTACAAAGGACACACAATAAAACTAAACTAAACATTTAGTTTAGGGACGGGACATCTCTAAGCAGTTGACCAATCACAACAGAGCCAGCCAGCTAACCAATCAGAGCAGACTAGGTTCTGGTTTCAGACAGAGGGTGAAAAGAGGGCAGTATGAGAAAAATAAAGAGCTTTTTGAACATTAAAGCATAGAGACATGTCCCAGTAGAGGCACTAAATACAAATATGAACCTGAAGATGAGCAGAATACATCCTCATTAAATATATCTCAGCATTGTCCTCTGATAGGTTAGCCCCCACAGTTCAAATGATGTGAGAAGTTTTAACCAAAAAATGCTGACTTTTCTGTCCTTCACAAGCTACAGCTGCATATGCTGATGCTGATCTGAGGTCAGGTTGATAATATTAGAGAGTTCTGTGAATTTGGTCATTAGTTGCTGGTCCATCTTTAAGATAAAGGGCCTGTTTGTAATATTTAAGGGGATCTATTGGCAAAAGTGAAATATAATATTCGTATCTATGATATTATTATTTTCAAGCTAAGAATCATAGTTCTCACAGACCTCCGGCAAGCCTGTTTGTGTGATGAGGATTTGTTCCAAAAGATTTTAGATTTTTCCTTGGCCCATACCAATTAATCACTTTAGAATAAAAAAATACATATATTTTCTTACGAATTCTGTATATATTCAACATATAACAGAGCAGTTTTTCTGCAGATTACAAACTCTCATGTTCAAGCCCTCCACTGTTTTTTTATGATCACCAATTATTTTCTTCATTCTTTACAATAAAAATGAGCAGATGTAGATCTAAATGTAGAGCACAGACCTCTGCCAGTGCTATGGACAAACAGACCAGGGACCCACATGTTAAAGCGTTGCTGGTGAAATTCCAGACTCTTACATGAATATGTTAAATATTTTTGAAAACTATAAACACCTTAGGTAATGACTGTAGACTTTATAATGACTGTGTGATCATGTGTTTGTGTTCCAGACAGGAAGTCGTTGGAATTGGAGCGAGGCGTGCAGAAGCTGGAGCTGACTGGGAAGAGGACGGTGCAGCTGAGGGCGGGGTCAGAGATCAACCTGACGTCTGCCGGGAAACAAAACAAACGCACCTCATTTAGACAGTCGCTGGCCATCTGCAGTGAGCGCGCTCAGGTGGGAAACACACAAGGATTTATATAAACCTTTCAAAATGAACTGTTCTTCATTTAGAGTTGCAGCAGATTGTATCGGATCGATCAGGCTAAACTAACGTTGTATATGCTCCGTCCACATTCATAACAACGGCCTACAGACATAAATAAAGCAGCGACTGTATTCGCCATGGCACAGACAGTCTGTGGTTTGTACTTGTTTAACTTTTGTCTAGTTTCTGAACAGATATGAGGAGCTGTGAGCTCTGAGTGCTAACACCTAACGGCTGATGTTTTGGTTTTGTGGTTCTACGTCAGTGACGGCAGGCTGAGATCCTCACCGCTGATTGGCTACCGCGAGATCGCGTCACGCGAATTTGAGCTTGAGCGGTTGTCGCGGCCCCCTTCAATCGCCTCAATCGCGCCGCGGCATTCGCATGAACCACTTCATGCGTGCTGTCGGAGCGAATTCGCGTCTGTCCGCATCTCTGCATTGACTTTACATGTAATCTCGCCGCCTCCAAACATCGCATCGCGTCCGGTGTGAACGCACCATTAGTAGTCTCATTTAGTCACTTGTTAGCAACCACTGTTTTTATGACACATGGAAGCTTTGAACATTCACGAGTGGAGTATTTAGTGACGTATTTTATGTCATAGAACAAAACGTGAAAATCTATTTAGCTTGTGTTAACCACAGAACTTATTTCAGGCTTCTAACCAAAAACGTTGGACTTTGAGATGAGGGAAAGGGAAATGTTCAAATGCTAACTAATTTCCACGTTTTAAGACTCTTAGCATTACTCCGTATGGTGCGACGCTTTGAATGTTGAGGCCACAAGAAATGGTGGGTTGGCTTCATCTACTTTCCTTTGGTAAAGAATGGTCCCCTGTTCCCTATGCCAAAGGAGAACACATTAAAGAACCTTTGCATTTAGAGAACTCAAACAGCTTTTATCACGTTTAAATTTCACTCAGTTTGAAACCTTCTTAACAAAGAAAACCTATTTGACTGGAGCCCCAGAACATGCTGGAGAGATCTTACATCTAGTCTGGCGTGGGAATGACCGGGGGTTTCCATGGAAAAGCTGGAAAACATTGTTGGGAAACGTTATGAATTCTCTCCTTAGCCGCTGCCCCCGCAGCCCGGCCCCAGTTGATCAGATAAAAATTGATGGATGGACACACATAATGAAAATAAAAAATAACATAAATTGCTTGGTCCTTTTAAAGCCTTCACATAATGTACACATTTTACATTGTTATAGACAGTGGGGTAAATGTAAGAACTCTACTTTATTACAATTGTGGGGTACTTGTACTTTACTTGAGTATTTCCGTTGTATGGTTCTTTGTACTTCCACTCCACTAAAATTCAGAGGTAAACTGTGTACTTTTACTCCTCTACATGTATTTAATACCTTTAGTTACTTTACAGATGTGGATGAATGATGTGAAATATAATGAACTGTTAAATCAGACTTTAGTTCCACCTGGAGTAAATTCACAAGCTACCCTGCAGTATACAAAGTCATTCAAACTAGCTGCACCTTTACCAGCTTTGAGAACACTTTAATGATCAATCATTATAAAACATATCATATATATTATTCTGAGATGGACCAATCTGCACAATGACTACTTTTACTTTTGGTACTTAAAGTATATGTTGATGCTAATACTTTTCTACTTTTTACCTGAGTAACATTTTGAATGCAGGACTTCGGTAACAGAGTATACGTACCCATGGTAATTCTACTTTGACTTAAGTACAAGATCTGAGTACTTCTCCCACCTCTGGTTATAGAGAGCAAAAGATGATTGTACATACAATAATATGACCACTGTACATAATACTGATGGGAAACTCTTCTGTCCCGATCCAGGCGGGATTCCTGAACCCTCTGCTGCGGCGCACGGCCTCCGCTAAAAACTCTCTGAGACGAGCTCCTTCATCGCTGTTCATCGAACATGGGAAAGTTTTCCAGAAGAGGAAGGTCAGATTGTCACACCAACAGCTGCTGGTTAAAGCTTCCATTCAGAGAATCTCTTTTCATCGGATTCAGATCATTTACATCCATCATGCTCAATATTGAGTCATTTTGTTACTGTTTTCACAGGAGTGGGAAACCAAAGCTGCTGCTTGACACCGACTATGTATCCATCATCATCATCATCCTCATCCTCATCCTCATCATTATCATCATCATCATGAAATCTACAAGCTACAGTTCTCGCAGCCTAAGAACCACAAACAACAACTTATTATTTCTCACTGAATATCTGTGTTGACCTATTTGAACTGCTTGAGTCATAAACCTTAACATGACACTGTTCTGGCCTTTATCCATTACATGAAGATATTTCAGTCGCTGTTGTGTGGTGAACTTTAAAAAAGCAATCTGCGTCAACAGAAAATCCACATACAAAATAAACAGAGTCATCCGTGAGGAACATGAGCAGGTTAGCACAAATTAGTCAATTATTTTCTTTAAAAAGACTTGAAAACCGTTGACTTTAATTAAATGTATTATGTCAAGAGAATTTACATATTTGTATTTGGTTAGTTGAAAGCAATAATATTAAGTTTAAATAAAAAGATTAGGTTCAATTTAATATTATTGCTTTCAACTATCCTAATACAGTTATGTGAAAGTCAACTTTTCAGTTTTTTCTGTGTACTTTATTGCAATATGTTGTGTTAGTACCGAGGAATGACCTTGTATCAGCAAACCGTACAAGTCAAGATAATTAAAGCTGGTGCGTAAAGCATAACTTTGTATGTGCTTGGGCTTGTAGCCTTCATCAGGGACATTATTAAACACATCACACAACCAAATGTGTGCACATGCTGGCAAAGACACTCAGGTCAAGAACAATTACAGTTAAATGTACAAATTGATTGTGAAATGTTCAACCAGCTCAACATTCCAAACTTTGACAGACTGTCTGCACCAACACTATAAGGCTTCTCAATACTCTAATTTCCCCTCCTCGACTCCTCGACTCCTCGACTCCTCGACTCCTCGACTCCTCGGTCCTCCGGTAGTGACCCGGAAATGGATTTCAGCGCGCCATGTTGAAGGACATCTCATTTCTCTAAACGCCTGCTGCTTCCCCTCCTCTCTCCTCGGTTCCCCTCCTCGACTCCTCCGGGCGGGACTAAGACACGAGGATAGGAGTTGAGGAGGGGAGTCGAGGAGGGGAAATTAGAGTATTGAGAAGCCTTCTATGTGTTAATAAACGTCTGATCATGTGCAGACACCTGATTGCGTTTGGACAGAACAATGTGCATGGATGTTTTTGGACATTTCCAAAGTGGTAGTTTTATATTACTGAACACACACGTGAAGCACTCACATCACACTTTCTGTATTAAGTTAAACCACTAATCTAAATTAATTTCATTTCCAATTAAAGGCTTTTGTATTTTAATTAACAGTATTTCATTTTTGTCTACTTCCTGCTGTTCTTTGGAGCAGCTGTAGCTTCTTTAAAGCCACTCAGAGACAGCTGGAGTGTGGTGAAGTCTGTAAAATTGTGATGTAAATCTTCTGTGAGTGTAAAAAATCTTCTCTGTGCAGTTACATTTGTGAATATCAGGTCGCTCATTTGTTTGAATTGTTTTTGATCTTTCATTCCACATGAACTCTCTGATGTCATTGTGAGTTATAATCAGTGGTGGACCATGTATTCAGATCTTGCAGTAAAAGTAACACACTGAAATGATTTCACTACAAGTCCAAGTCTTGAATGTGAAATCTTATGTTAGTGAAAGTATGTAAATATCTCAGCAAAATATACTTTAAGTATAATTCTACAATGTTTCCAGACAGCGTTTTACTGTTATAAATAATATGATATGACACAAGTAGAACATTGAGGTTTTGCTCATTTCATCTCCCTTGTTGTACTACAGCAATGCATCATATTCTATAACGTCATCATGTTGTAGTTTTGTTGCTGTCCTGTGTGTTTTTCCCAGAACAAAAACCTGTTTTCAGCTTTTTAACAAAGCATTTCCAAATTAGCCAAGACCATTTCTAAATAGTTTATTAAGCTAGGACCATTTTCTCAACACATGTGGGATCACTTGCTCTTCAGTTTATCAGAAACATTTCAATAACACTGCTAGAGATACATGATTTTTAAAGGACAGAGCAGGTACGTACAAATTGTACTTAAGTACAATACTTCGGGAAAAGTACCTACCCACCACTGGCTATAACTGAAACTTGCATTTGTTCTGATCTGCACAATGTTATTGCAAACACATGACTATGAACTATTGAAGACTTACGTTCATTTCTATGACTGTCACTTATTTTTATCTTTTTTTGTATTTACTGGATTTTTTATAATCTCAGGAGAACGTCGTTTTTGTTGTTATTGGACTAAAAGATTATCTATAAAATGATATTGTAATATTAAAAACTAAATTGTACTTATTATATTTGCCTTTATTTCAAAGGATGGAAAAACAGCAGAGACGCTAAAAGTGGAAGTACTCGGATGATCTCCTTTAGTAAAAGTAGCAATACTTGAGTGTAATTTGTGCTTTTTTTACACTTTGATAATATACAATTTGTGTATTATACATTTTGATACATGCACCGATAGATAGACAGACAGACAGACAGACAGCTAGATAGATAGATAGATAGATAGATAGATAGATAGATAGATAGATAGATAGATAGATAGATAGATAGATAGATAGATAGATAGATAGATAGATAGATAGATAGATAGATAGATAGATAGATAGATAGATAGATAGATAGATAGATAGATAGATAGATAGATAGATAGATAGATAGATAGATAGATAGATAGATATTGATCCAAGGGGAAATTATTTAGTTACAGTAGCAGCAGTGTGTTCAGGAATAAAAAACTTTAAAGGTGGAAAAAAGGTATCAACGTAATAACAATGAGATAAAACAATTAACAGCAGCAAGTATACGGTATATCTACAGTAGAAAGGAAAATAAACCACAAATATATATATAATTAGATATCAGTGAGACAGTTATATGAAAGGCCAATACTGTATTACAGAAGCATATAATATATCAATTACAGATGTGCAAAATGTTCATTGCTGGAGAGGGAGAAACTAAACTAACTGAAACGATGTGCAGTGAGTTCTCTGCTGGCCACAGGTGATGTGTTGTAAAGGGTTATGGCTGTTGGCAGGAAGGTTTTCCTGTGTCGCTCTGTGTGACAGTGCAGCTGGAGCCGTCCAGCTCCAGTAAACTCTTATACAATAATTGAATAATTGTACCTTCATAAAATTGAATGTATAAGGTGGTAAACTGTTCTGCTGTAAAATTAGCAATAGCTGTATATAAATCATCATCAAAGTATGTCAGAGGTTTGGCTTAGGGTGTCTTTATTTAGATTTGAGTACTTTAAAAAAATAATTTCAAGTACAATTCTAAAGAACTTGTACATAACCTGGGTTGGGTCATACATTGACATAACTTCATCTCTGAGATAAATATTGTATTTATTTCTTCACTTGGATGGATTTAATTAACGGGACATTTATTGGATAGCTGTAGCTATTTACTTCCATCGCTGAGCATTTTGCTACACTTTTATACATAAGGCATATTTATGTTGAAATAAAAATAACGAATTAATTTAACTTAACTGGGCTATACTATAATAAAGGTACCTCAATCTTGGTTGGTTTCCCATCAGTCTGTGATACTGTCCTCTCGTACGCTGGGCAGCGCTAGACACTTGTAAGTCTCGCGGTGTTTCCCGTGTTTATCGCTAGAGAAGAAGTATCGCGGAAGGAAAGGTTTCCTGACGGTTCACCAGGCTAAGCTAATCAGCTAACTACATACAACCAGCCGTCTAACCAGTAGATATATCAGTTTTACCAGTTGGATAAACAGCCGTGACGAAGGTAAAACGCCAGCATCTTACCTCACCCCTGCTGTCTTGTGCTTTATTAATTGTAGTTTTGATAAAATTGGCCTCCTGCTTGTTAGCCTGTTAGCAAGGCGTTGACAGCACTGCAGCTGTTAGCCGGTTAGCTCTAGAGCTAAGCTAACAGAAAAAGGAATGAGAGGGTTTATCAGAGAGGGAAGTCAGCTGATTTTGTGTAATACTTCTGCTAAAGATGACTGCGTTCTCACTGCGTGACTGTCATTACGGTTAACGGTTCATGCTAAAAGCTAAGCTCGGTTTGTTAGCCTAGCTGTGTGTTAGCCCAATCGACTGTTTCCTTTTGTTTGTTGCTCAGTTATAGATTTGACTCTTTTTTAGCACATTTAGACCACTTTAGAAAAGGTCCAGATCAGTAACAGCTATGTTCAGACTGGTCAAATCTGGACTATATTATCCCAGGGAAGCAAAGAGGCTATTTTAAACACAGTTTCAGAATTGTGAAACCTTTGCCTTATTTTATTTTTGAATTAGCAAGATAAACAAAACAAAACACGCGAGACTTTCTTATTTAAACCTTGACCTTATGATCAGTCTAGGCATAGTGGGTTATGATCTGGACCTGGTACAATGTTGTCTAGGTGTAAAAAAAAAGCGAGTGAAATCTCCCTTCTGCGCATTTTCACAAAAAGTACAAGTCTGAAACTAAGTATTAACGAGTATTTGTGATCATCTAGTCCAGATTTGACATTTATGGGTTTATGTTTTCAAAGGGACCTGATCCTATGTGATCTAGTTGTGTAAAAAAATATGTAGAATTGCCTTTTTTTCGCATTTTTACATGTATAAAAATGTTTCTACAATTTGCAAGGGTTTAAATAAGCTCCCAAACTACCTTAAATGTCCAATGCACATTCGTGCAGTAAGAGAGGCAAACAAATTGAGGATATTCAATGTCAGCAAATGAGAAGCTGACTTCAGCGTTGTGACTCACAGATAAAGTGTGATCTGATGTGGACTCTGTGCATGAACTCACACCTCTTTTCCTGTTTTCCTTTTCCAGTATCAAGATGACAGCCGCACCTTACAACTACTCCTACATCTTCAAATACATCATCATTGGTAAGTTGGATTTATACACTGAAGGGGGTCTGGTACATACATACATAAAAGGCCAGAGATGGAATGTAACTAAGTACATTTATTCAAGTAATCTAAAATACATTTGAAGTACTTGTATTTTTCTTTCTTTCTTTTTTTTCACACTGCTTGGTTCTTCTACTCTGCTCAGCTTTAATTACTTTATAAACTAAGATTTTTTTACAAAAAATATCAAACGTTTTTAATATATTTTTTTTATTATTGATTGATAGATTTTGTAATGGATTTAGAGATCTCAAAATAATCCAAGGGATAATATGTGAAGTGTTACAACAACAAAAAACAGGGACAATCGCACAACATTGCAGAATCCCGAACTAAATAATTAACTAAACCAATGGCATCCCACAAATGGAAAAACATAAATACCTATAAACCCTGTCCTAGTATCTTCGTTTTATTCACAGTCCAAGTGTCTCTCAAATTAATTAATTTCCCTCACATCGCTCACAATATAAAAAAAAGTATAATAACAAAATGCTCAAACAGATCATCATAACAGGAATGCCCGTGATCTGCCTGCCATACTTTGAATGGTCATCTTACCCCAGAAATGATCCCGTTCCTGACCTTTAACAACTCCTCTGGATCTTGACTGCTTCATATTTAGTGTGAGGGTGGTCCATTTGACTAGTTGCACCTTGCAAGAACGTACAGCCCAGAGGCCTGTACTACGAAGCCGGATTTTTGCTTAGCGAGCTAACTTCAGGGAGAACTCTGGGTTTCCGGTCCTACGACGCTGGTTCTCTTCTTGGCGGGCTAGATCTCCATGGTAACTTATGCCCGAACGGCTAGCCTGGTCCGGAGCAGGTTAGGTTGCAGGCTAAGAGATCAACTCAGTGAAAGCACCGCCTGCTGACCAATCAGAGCTCAGTATGCAGAGTTTAAAGCGATCAAGTCATATTACAGGATAGAGGAAATACAGAAAAACTGCCGTTACAGGAAAGACGGCCGGCAAAAATCAACTGACTGTGAACATTAATAGAATATCCCCTCCCATCTTCAGAGCAATCTGACTATTATAACATTAGCGTTAAGAAAGCTTACTTAAATATCTGCCACAACATAAGTAACCGGATCAAAGTAACAGTACGTAGCCTACAGTCCGCGGCACTGTGAGTGCAGACGTCGATGTGTCCCATTATCATTCATATCATATCACATCATAATGTATCATATATTTCCTTATCTGAGTCAGCTTCTTGAGCCATATCTGGCCGTGCAACACTCACAGTGTCACATACTGTATGCAGAAGTATTATTTTAAGCAACACATTAAGTTGACGAAACACTCGAGTCAAATGTAATTAAAGTCAGATCCACTCGTGTCGGGGCAGCAGTGATATCATAAAACTGTTAATGTACGCATTCAAACGCTTTTTCTTTTACCAGCTGTATTCACCTTGCAGGTGCAGCTATGTGGCTTTGATCCTGGATAAAGTGTTTAAGTCATGGATGTTTAAAGTTTAACGTCTTCATATTTGTCTAATATTATAGTTCACTTTTCATTCAGGAAGTATGACGCTGCGCTGTCAGTACGCTTGTCCATGTTTGTGATTGGTCAAATATTGCTAACCCTTTTATGTGAACGCGCACATAACTAGATAGGGCAAAGCTGGCTTGAGTTAACGAGTTGATAACCAGCGTCGTAGGACCGCTTAGCGAGAGCGCGTTTGTTTTGGATTAGGTAAGCCGGGTAACTCAAACATATCCAGGTTATGTTGAACCGGCTTCGTAGTACAGGCCTCTGGTGACCATGCTGTTTATGTATTATTTGTACGCTCGGGTAGTCAGGTGATCATTTTAAAGAGCACATATTTTGCTCATTTTCAGGTTCATATCGGTATGTAGTGTCTCTACTGTGACATGTCTCCATGCTTCAATGTTCAAAAAGCTCTTTCTTTGTCTCATACTGCCTGTGCTGCAGCACCTCTTTTCACCCTCTGTCTGAAACCAGAGCCCAGTCAAATCACATACAATGTGTTGGAGCGCTAGCCAATAGTATAGAAAGTGTTAAATAGTGATGTCATTATGTTATGGAAGTAAACAGAGTAGTCCAATGGAGGCGTTTCAAGCAGGGGGGGTGTGGGGGAGAGGGAAACTCCCTCTGAAGTATTCATATCTTTATAATACTAATACACCACTGAATATATTGTAATATACACACAATTGTACACGTGTATTGTTGTTGATTATTGGCATACAACTTGCAAATATTTACTTAACTCCCTTTGTTTGAATAAATAATGATGTTCTATTTTTATTTTATTCTTGTATTTTGTACTGTCACTGTCTGCATTCTGTTGCAGGTAGCGCAACTAATATTACTTACTACTAGTTACTAATATTACTAATGTACTAATATTGCAACCAGCTGGATTATTAGTACATTTACTAATAAGTATGCAGCATTATATAGTTCTACTCTACTATATCTCTGAGGAAAATATTGATTTACTTCATTATATATATTTGTATCATATTTTAAGAATACTGAACAGATTCAGATTTTATTGGTAGTGGTATTGTACTTAAAAAGTATAAAAGTATAGAAAGTACACACAAGTATTTTTCACCTTTTTTGTAAAGTAAATGTTCCTCTTTGTTGCAAGTAAAAGTACAAAAGTATTCACAACAGAGTGATTTTAATGGCAGTATTGCTCCTTTTACAATAAATATTTGTAAGAGTTATCTTCACCTCGTGGATACTAAGGAACACTTGATGTAAATTGTTTTGTTGCTAAGTAAGTTGGTAACTGGCAAATGTATTAAATACAAAAACAAGATATTTATATTTGAAGCAGCAGTAGTAATAGTTTTTATAGGACCATCGTAGTCATTTGACATAATTTATATAAGTACCTTGAAATATTTCCGCGTGCATACTCCTTTTTCCAGGCACCATGTTTAAATAGATGTTCTACCCTTCAGACGGATATTTGCTCGGGTTTATTTCCGTGAAAAGTATTTCCTGAGAAGTGAAACTTTTCACGGATGACTCGTCTGGGACTGACTGCTTGTTAGCTCGCGTTTTAACATCTAAAGGCCTGTAGTGTGTGAGGAGTGGAACAAATACATGATATCCAGTTTTCTTTTAAATGTTTTTTGTGTTGAATGATGACGACAGTTGGATGCGAAACTCTGCTGAACTAATATTCTGAATAATGTTCTTCTGTTATAAAGAATAAGTTCAAGAAGCCATTGGACATTCAAAACAAATGTAGCTAAGTTAAACGCGTCTCTCTGCATTTTATTAAACAACATCCAATCACAGACCTTTAATTTTGCTGCTGAGGTGCATGGGAATTGTAGTGTTTAGACCCGTGCACTAAACTAAAACACAACAATGGAATTATTTTAACTGATTTTAGTAGTATGGGGATATTCAAATCAAACATTAAAGGGGCCCTAATATGCATATTTTCCCTTTCCTATGGTTTGTTTGCATGTAAATGGTCTGCAAAGGCTAAAATCCCTATGTTCCCTCCAGACACTCAACTTAATTGATCTCTCTCTCTCTCCAGGTGATATGGGAGTAGGGAAGTCATGTCTTCTCCACCAGTTCACAGAGAAAAAATGTGAGTTCTTTCTCCTTCTGTTCTTCCACTCTCCTCCAACTTCTCTTACTCATTAGGTGCCTTTCCATCCACCATATGATCATTTTCAATCCTTTAACATTTGAAAGAATATTGAAAGTGCATTTTTTACAATCGGCTGATGTATAATAGTTGTTTGAAGCTGAATAAGTGATTAAATGATAATGTACATTAAGCGTTTAGATTATTATTAAATAATCTGTCTGGGTCAAATTTTAAGGTTGGATTCATGCAATATGTTATTATAACAGTTGTTTGTGTGAATCAATGCCCAAAGTACATTATTAGTTCATATCAAATGATATACCTTCACGGAAAATAAGAAGAAGAAAGCAGTGTCCTGTTTTGTTGGCTGTTTTCTGGTTAAACTGTCATAATAATGAATATTTTGGATGTGTGTGTGCAGTCATGGCAGACTGTCCTCACACCATCGGGGTGGAGTTCGGGACAAGGATCATGGAGGTCAATAGTCAGAAAGTGAAGCTGCAGATCTGGGACACGGCCGGTCAGGAGCGCTTCAGGGCCGTCACCAGGTCCTACTACAGGGGGGCCGCAGGGGCCCTCATGGTGTACGACATCACCAGGTACTGACCGGGAGAGGGGAGTTAGTGTGGGAGGTTTCATATTAGTTTGATCCTTTGATGAATAACTTTGTTTTTGTCTCTGTGTGTCCAGGAGAAGTACTTATAATCACTTGAGCAGCTGGTTAACAGATGCCAGGAACCTGACCAACCCCAACACAGTGAGTTAACACAACAACACACACGCACGCACGCGCGCGCACATGCCGGAATCCCATTACACAACAAACATTAACAAAACATGGCAAACAGTGCTAAAGGACAAATTGAGGCTTAAAAATGTGAGAAGTCTAATCAACCAGCCTAGTTATTGAATTAGATATAGTAACTCTTACAGAAGGAGTAGTGTATTATCACACAGAAATAGTTGCTCTAAGTCAGCTGTGTGGGTAGTGTGGCATACCTCCATAATCTCCATTAACTTTGAAAGAAACACTTTGTCCTGGACATAGTTTATACAATATAAACTGGGACAGAAGTCCGGATTCTCCAGAAGTACTTACACAAGCAGCCATCTTCATCAAATACTCTATTGACTAGCCGCCACTGACCTCAGCATACTGATGCCAATGTTGCTACTGATCATGCATTTTTATATTTGTTCAATAACTACGCTGACTGCTGTGTCCAGGTCATCATTCTGATTGGTAACAAGGCTGACCTGGAGGCTCAGAGGGATGTGACGTACGAGGAGGCCAAACAGTTTGCTGAAGAGAATGGTGAGAAGGGTTTTATTTTGGTGTGACCTCTTTGAGAGAGAAAGAGAGATAGCAGCAACATGTTCAAATTAAGATGAAAACAGGACCTCAGATTTCTACTCCCTGTTTTTCATCAGGTTTGCTGTTTCTTGAGGCCAGCGCAAAAACGTAAGTTCATGCACACACTATTTCAGCATGATAGGCCTTTTCCTGTGAATACTCAAGTGTCTTATTTTGAATATTGTTTTTTGATAAAACGCATACAATTTCAGCTGCAAAATCATTCACACACTTAAAAAAAAAGTATGAATCCATATATATCCACATTCGCACACAGGTCTTGTCACTCAAACATTTTGAAACAGATCCCTTGAAAGAGATAAATGTGTTTTATTTTCATAAGGTTTTCCAAATAAAAGAAAACCAGCGGTGGAAAGTAACGAACAACATTTACTTGATTACTATTTAAGTTGCACATTTGAGGTACTTTGAGTTTTTATTTTTTCTTGTTTCCCTTTTGACCATAAACGGTAAGTTGTTTTGTACTTGTTACTATTATTCCATTTATGACCGCTTAAGTAATTTTCAGAACAACATTTGATATGTTAAACATACGCTGTTATAGATAATACTACCTAAAAGTTTATACCATTGTTTTAAATGAGCTCTACCTTGACAACGTTCAGATGCTGCTCGGACAGCAAAGAATCAGGAATAACGTCCCGAAAAAAAGAATATATAGAATACGTTAAACACTTAAAATAGAGCCATTTGTTTTTGGGAATACTAATAATGTCATACTTTAGGTTCCATTTGCTGCAGATACAGACATATGTTGAGTTGAATTTGAGAAGAGTTTACTTGTGGTATTACTACCTGACGTGCAACTGGTGCCATGTGTATACCAATACAGTTCTGAATCTGATCTACCTGTAAGACTCTTTACTGAATGTTTATTCATCTCTGAAAATGTTGTGTTCCTTCTTCTGCCTCAGAGGGGAGAATGTGGAAGAGGCCTTCCTGGAAGCAGCGAAGAGGATATACCAGAACATCCAAGACGGCAGTCTGGACCTGAACGCTGCTGAGTCGGGGGTCCAGCACAAACCGTCTGCTCCGCAGGGGGGCCGCCTTAACGCCGACAGCCAGCCGGCCAAAGAAGGCTGCAGCTGCTAACCACAGACAGGAACTACAGACCAATAGAACAGACCGGTGGACGGACAGACGGAGGCAGAAAGATACACAGGGATCCACCAGGCACTAACATGCTTCTTAAGAGTGCGTCAAACAGAATTTAGGTGGATTACGTTCAACACAGTCCAACCAACTGTTTTGACTCCAAACCTGAGGTTAGTACTCAAGACAAAGATTCGGCCATCCTCCACCCAATCAGACATCACTAGCTTTGGTTAAATCAGGACATCCTCAACTAGATGGAGAACCTCTCCAGACGTCCAGTCATTCTCAAATTCGGATCAGTTTTGGACAACTCTCAAATCAGGACCCCCTGAATCACTGTCAAAATGACACATGCTGGGTCTCATTCCAGTCCCATCACTGCCCATTTTCAGCCCAACATTTTCCCCCAAAAACTTGACTGCACTCAGGACCTCCCAAGTTGGAGTGCTGTTGGCCTGAGTCATATGATGGTTGTCCAAATTTCAAGAATATCGTGGTCACAAAAGAACACTGATGAAAATATAGATGCGAAGCCTGAATCTGAATCAACCAACAACCCAAAACTGGACTACACTTTATCAAAAGGGGTCACTTAGTTTGAAATCTGGACATTGAATTAGACAAAGCCTCGGATTATGAAAGAACTCTGGTCAAAGTCTAGATGCCCTTACCAGCTTGCAGTCTCAATGTTTAGCTTCCTTCAAATGTAGACTCCCCTCGTCCCAAACACAAACAGTGGCATGTGAGAAAAACTGAGACCGCGTTCACCCACACACAGGCTTTCTTGGCCAAAAGATAGATGAGAATGGGAGAGCCCGACACCAGACAACTATCTTCCACTAGCATTGACCCGTCTCAAGTGAGGGTAGTCCATCAACCTTGGTCCTAAAGAGCAAGTCACCATAATTCCAACTCTGGACATTCCTATTGACAGATTCAGGTCCAAATCAAGGACCACCTTCAGTTCAAATGTAGCTATATAATCGAATCTATATCACCCAAATGCCCATCATTGGTTGAATCCAACTCTTAAAAACTCTTGCTTCAAATTCATGAATTCTAACAGTTGCGTTAATGTCTGCATTCGTCCTCGGGGTTCCTTCTTCACAGAAAACATTTCTCGCTCTGCTTGATTTCATACAGCAACCTCGTTGTTTCACTTGTTTCTCATGCATTAACTTCCAAACACTCGATAGATGAACCGACTGCCCTTCTGACCTCTGACCTCTGACCCATTGCATTTACACTGTGTCGGTAATGTGGACGCATTTACACTGAAGTTGCTGATGTGGACTTTTGAATCTGTTGTTCTTGTGGTGGAATGCGTATCTGGAGGTGTTCCTGTAGTGTACCAGTTCTCTTAAATGCAGGTTAATGGGCACTACTCCATACTTGGAACCACTTCACTTCTTAAATGTCCTTTGGCCTGCACTGATTGACCCTCTAAAAGAAACGCCTGAGTTACAAACGAAAGGTCTGCCGTTAGAAAGTCACGGTGTGTCTAGAAGCAGACTGTACTATGTTTGCGAAAAATGTAGGATCCAGGGTTTTTGAGTTTGTCCCATATTATGTATTAAAAGTCGACATATCTCTGGTTCAGTTTTGTTCAGTCTTTCTTTAACATCTCTCGCGAGTTCCCAAACTGTATAGAATTGCGTTAAAGCTTCATTGTACTTTGGTTTGATCATGTCTAAATCACCTCCTTTATTCCCAGCTTGACAGAACATACTGGACAAGGCTTAAGAACATGGCTAGCATCTCCATACGGAGTGATTCTGCACACATTATATCGGACCCAATCTGAGAATGACATTCAGAAACTTGGAAGCTGCCCCGCATAGAATTTTAATTGAAAGAAAATAGAATAATAATCAAGGACATCAAAACCCTTCCTGGCCAAATGAGACTGAATATTCTGTCACTAGGAACCCAGTGGATCCCTAAAGAACTCTAAGAAACGTTGTTCACACAGAAACCCAAAACACAACATCCCTAATCTCTACTTTTTGCATTTTAAAAAAACAAAACAAAAAAATTAAATCTTTCAATCCAATAACCTAAGCTTATTTAAGGTTCTTATGTAAACCAACTGATCTGATGAAGGTGATGATGAAGAATAAAATGACCTACCTGAACCAGAATGTCACTACTGGTCCTGCAGGGGGATCCAGTTCAGGATAGATTTTTATTATTCAAATGTTTCTTGTTCATGTTGATTTTTGTTTTCTAACATGTTTTCAATATATATTTACATTTTATTTTCGGTGTCACAGCTCCCTCTAGTGGCCATGCTTCGTGCCCCTCCTGGTTCAGTGTGTATTGAGGGAAAGGTAAAACTGGAAGCAACACAGATTTTAATTTATTGCTACCTTTACGTGTTTTGTATGTTCAGTTTTCTTTTTAACGGCTCTGCATTCCGGTTCTTAAAAGCGGAATAAGCAGAAGATTTGCAACCAAAACATATCTTAGAGACTTATAGAGTGGTGCAGTGATGACTTGTTTTTGAAGGCCGACCCAGAAGTAAGCATCGCAAAGGGTTGTCTCAACAAAAAGCAATGGGATTTCGGCATATTGCAGGAAATAAGCTCCTACCAGTGGGGTATTTACTGCCGTGCTTTATGTCGTTGGACAAAATGTGAAGATCTCTTGTTTTAACCACAGACCTTGTTTCACGTTACTAACCGCAAACACGTTCAAAAAACCATTGACTCAAGACGAGGGAACAGGAAGTGGTAGAAGTCCTTTCCTAGGTTTAGGACTCATTACTGCACCACTCTATTCTGACATTATCTTGCCTTCCAACACATTTTGTTTTCTTATAAGCGTGATCTGACGGAGCCTTGACACCCTAAAGTGCTTTCATCAACTAAATGATTAAATGTCAAATTAATAAATAGGGATTGTAGAGCGTGATCCCGGCGCTACATGATCCAGTTCTCCCAGCCTATTTAACTGCATTGTTCAGTAAATGTTGTTCTTTGAGAAGCATTCCAGCACTCATTAGCTATAAAACACCAACAAAGTAGCTCTGCTAAACTTTATCTTATACTTTTTAAATATTTTAAAGCTGAATTATTTGATTTTGTGGCTACTAGAGGGGAGAAATATACCAAAACAAGCCGACAGATGCGCACACAGTATAACATGTAATGTGTCAGTTGTTGGATTCAGTGTTTTAAAAAAATAAATCGATGAATGCAGCTTTCACCTGATATGACTCTGCTCTTATTGATGGATCAAACATATACACTGTATGGATCAGCTGGACAGATGACATCCTATGATCAGTGTCTCTCCAGCAGGGAAAACACACTGATCAACAATATTCATACTCAACAAATGGAACTTTGAAACATATGATAGCCTGATAGCCTAAAAATATGATGCTGTGTTCATAAATCAAATTAATAAAGTGATTTCTTTTTTCTATATTCAGTCAAATAAATACCTATAGTTATTTTTAACCTATTTCGCTCCCAAATGTATTTAAATTTTTCCTTTTTATTATTGCAAACATTTGATTAATTATTTATCTACATTACAGTTTCTAAAAACATTTAATTTAAGTGTTGTGAAATATATAAATATAACATTATGGTAAGGGTAATAAAGGACAAAACAGAGAAAATAAGTGTTTTCTCGCTTACACAAAAATAAGCTCAAGTCACTTTATTGCCATGAGTGGAATAAACTAATAAATACAAAAATGTAAATCTACATTTTAAAGTTGCCATGACCGCAGAAGGAAAACACAAGCATTTAATTATTAAAATAATGTTCAAATATATATTAAAACGCAACAGCAGTGTTGTTGCAGCATATTCACCATTTTCTATGGAAAAATGTGAGGAAATGAAACGAAATAATTGAGTGTTAAAATACCTGACTTGAGTTACAGCTGTGAGCATCAACAACATAAGCTACATTTATTTTCATAACGATAAATGTACATTTAGTTTTTAAAATGATATCCTCTTGTAAAAACAACATTATAAATCATTACACTAATCGGCCATTCGAGGCACTGTTATTGAATTAAAAAAATGTATTTTAAAATTCAGGATGTTTTCATTAGCAACAATTCTCCACTCTTAACCCTGCAGGCCGGCTGTAAAACGCTCTGTACATTTTATTATTTTTTCTGTGATCTGTTTTATGTCTGCCTAAGTAAAATCATGCTTTTATGATTCTTTGACTGTTTATATTCTAACTCCGTAATGATTTTCTTCAGCTGTAGCTTATTGTACTGCCTGCCACGGTGATTTCGTTTTTTGTAAATAAAGTATATACTGTATTTACGTCTGTGCCTTTCTGTGCTTCTTTAAATATTATTTAGTGTTTTCTACTTTGGTATGTACCAAAGTCAGGAAAAGTTTAGTATTAACATTTCCGTAGTCACTCAAGAATAATGTCACAAAACATTTTTACTAAGGGTTTTCATCAGACCCGGCGCCGTGGGCCAGGCCCTCCCATTTGACATTCCTGCCCTCCCCCAATAAACACGTTTTGTATTATTTATAAAAATTCAAAATATATATTTTTTAATTATAAATAAACTGTGAACTTTAATGCTACGATGTATGTGATGCAGATAGTAATATACGAGTAATAAATGAAAAACAGGTCTGAAATACTATGACAGTAAAACAAGAATAGTTTGAAAGGGGAGTGATTTGTAAAATATCCATAAAGAAAAAGTAAATCTGTTTACAGTTCTGTTTCATATGGGTGTTGAGAGATGTATCCATAGATCTCTCAATGTTGCTCTCAAAGTGCACCAGATTGATGCTTTTAACTTCAATATTTAAAAAAAAATCTTCCCGGACCCCCCTAGAGGTGGTGAGGACCCCCTAAAGGAGGTTAGGTCCACACACCACCTATAAAAATAGCACTTTACCTCTGCTTACACCTATATGCCGTGAGCTGATTATCGAGCCTTCATCGTAACAGTCGCGGGTACACTGTGTGTGTGCGTGTGGGGAGTGTTGCAGTAGAACATTCCACTGTAGCGCCCGGTACATTAATGGGAAACCCTAAATGTTTGAGCACCCTCTATGAAACGTCAAGCTACCCCACAGCACCCCCAAAAAAGAAAATCTCTGGCGCCGCCACTGGCCGTGGCACATGACGGTTTTGTGTGCCCTCCCATGAAAATCTGTAGATTTGTTCTGGCGCCGGGTCTGGTTTTCATACATATACAAAATATATAAAGATATATCATGATAAGAGTTAGTGATAGTTTTCTGGATTCATGCTAAGCTAAGCAGTTTGCTGGATAATCAATCCAACTCTCAGCAAGAAAGCAATACAAGAAGTACTTTACTGTATTCAAACTGTCAAGCAAAAGTATAAGGAATAAAACAAAAAAACATTTTTGTGGGTGAAGTATTCAGATATTTATAGAAACAGTTAACAAGCAGGTTTACATTTTTTCCCAAAATGGATTTATTGACATCTGTTATTTTGTGTTTTCAAACAGGACATCACATATAAAAGAAAATAAAGCAATCATTTTTAAAACTCCATGTTAATCAGAAAATAAAGTTAAAGTCACTCTGGGTGTTTCATATTCTGATCTGATTCCAGGTCAGATCCGTCCTGTGTGTCCTTTTACAAACTTCCATTCACAGTCTGTACGAGCAAACTGATGACCTCAGCAGAGGCAGTTTGACTGGCAGCAGAGGAAGTGACATCACTACGTGGCTCTGCTCTTGGGGGCGGGCTCTGTCTCGTACTCGATCTCCACGTACGCTCGCTTCTTCCTCACTGTCGAGCCGTTGGCTGGAGATTTGCCTTTAGACTTGGAGGAGGCCTTCGTCTTTGTCTCGACCTCCATTTCATCCTCCTCTTCTTCCTCTTCCTCTCCACTGGACTCCTCCTCCTCCTCATCGTCTTGTTCCTCCTCGTCGCTGCTCGTCTTCAGTTTATTCATTTCCTGAGGGAAGAAACAAAAACATTCAGATCAAAAACATTTCTGTTGTTCAATTTAAACATGCTTAAACTCACACTTGGTATATTTGATAAAAGACGTGTTTTAATGCCCTACTCTGTGAAACTCAGTGTATGGATATTACTATGGGAAGCCCTCTGTATGATCGTTTTCCCTTTTCATTTGGAGTAATGTTGCATCCTTGGTTTATTTTTGAAATCATTAGTTTTGACATTAGTTTTATCCAATGCAGGGTTTTTAAACACTTTGCAAAGACACATTTAAATATTGATTCTCTCAACGTCATGAATGGATCTTTTAAAGGTTCAAACTATTCGGTACACCCCGAAAACAAACATTTGTCCTTTGAACTCCACTCACCTCAAAGTCGCTCAGGTCGCTCTCCTCCAATTCTTCTTCTGCAACAAACTCGCTCTTCCCAACGCCCTGCAGACACAAGGATAAAGTTCACATAAGAATAGAAACTCAAACAGTGTGTGTAGTCTGTGGTTGCGGTCGAATACTCCAAAAAATCAGCTCCTATCGTCTATCCCTTGACCTCCGAGTGAAACGTCACGGAGTTAAGGGATAGTGGATAGGAGAATTCAAAAGGATTTAGGAGAAGAGACTGCGGTACTTTAGAGAATCGACTGCACTTTCACTATCCGACGTGTTTATGATGCGCCAGCGGAGGTCATAAATGTGCGTCTGCTGCGGTGGGGAAACTATGGAAACTACAGTTTTCTATACAGCGGACTACAACAGGGATGTTTAATAAGAACGAGGGACTACTGTAAACTCATCTAGAGACTCTGCACCGCGCTCTGATGCTGTTGTTTTATGCTTTATGAACGGGGACAACAGAGAAACATATTCTTCATGACCAAAGTTGGAATTGAAATAAAAAGGGAAACTTATGCTCGTCACCCTCTCCCTCCGGTCCACATTAATACATATGATCCCAATACGTATGATTGTATGAAAAGATCTTAAAATCAATACAAATGTATTTATTATAAACGTTAGTCCTTAACATCTATCACTGTGTATATCACCATTCAAACATCTTTTAAAAGTTGAACAACCCCCACACAGCTCAGTAAAGACTGTGACATGTTGACTTTATTTGATCATTTCAGTAAAAACTAACGTTCATATTTCTCTTTTTGATTATAATACTGATGAACGTTCAAAACAAAGCACTTTGGCAACTTACCACATACGTTTTAAAATGCTTAATAAGCACCGTAACTTTCATGATATCATTTCTCGGTCATAATCGGTTGTTTCCGTGAACGGCCGACTGTTGTGTGACGGCAAATGCGGCGGCCGCAAGGCATTGTGGGGCAGCATTTTCTCCTCTCCTTTAGGTTAGGGAGGTCCAGTGGTTCCTAAGCTAAAGGAGGTTATAAAGGAAGTTTGAAACCTCCTTTCCTTTCATTTAGAGAATTCGAACGGCACTTATCATGGCTGCCACTGAGGGACTTCCGGGTCATTTCACTCCGTTAGGAAGGTTCCTAAGCTAAACGGACTATTCGACTGCAACCTGTGTGTAGGCTGATCTGATGTAAGCATCCTTCATTACCTCGTCATCCTCCTCCTCCTCCTCTTCATCTTCCTCCTCTTCCTCGGTCTCCTCATCCTGCTGCTCCAGAGCTCTGTCGAAGGCGATAACTGGGAAGTTGTAGATGTCTCCATACTGAGAACACAATCAAATGTATGTTAGCGTTACTAACTAGTACACGGCATAGTTGAATACTTGGACAGTTACAGACAAACTCGACCAGTGCTGCTGTCGTCATAAATTACGTTGCTTCAAAAACGGAAATGTCTTTCTTAGCAGAAGCAATTAAATGAAATGAACGTGACACGTGTTTTGTTCAGCAGGATAATCTCCACATATTAACACCGCTTTCATGTTTTTGAAGCTAAAGTGTAATCCCAATATCTGATAGCTAACATGATGCTATAAGAGAACTACATCATGGTTGCATCACAACCGCTAAGCTAAAGGCGGCTAATGTTCGCTGTGATGACGTTTAGTCGTCTCATTTAGTCGCATGGTAGCAACTGCTGTTTTTATGACAGTTTATGTCGAAGAATGTCTCTTAAACTTGATTTAACCACAGACATTTCAGGTTTCTAACCAAACACGTTTATAAACAGATGACTCTCAGACTATAATTACAAGGATAGAAATCTGTCTCTAAATGGCTCTCTGCATCTTATCTAAAACGTAAACATTTCATCTCTGCAGTTGCTTGATCTCCTTTTAAATACGTTATTGTTTTGTTCCAGGTGAACTATGTCTTGAGTTTGCCTCGATGTACAGATATTCAAAGTGTGTGTGTCGTACCGTTCCCTGCTTCAGTCTCTCCAGAAGCTCCTTCTCGATGGCGTTATCCAGCTGAGCGGCGATGAGAGCTTTCTCCTACAGACGACAGACATTAGTACACATTAGAATCAACAGGTGGATGCAGCCTGAATGTTGGAGTGAACAGCATGGAGTTCCTGCTCACCTCTTTCCTTTTCTCTCTCCTCTCCACCTTCCTGCTGAGAGGGACCAACTTCCTCCTGGAAACACAGTACACCAGTCACGCTACATTTCTCCACTGAAGGGGCTTTTGATGTTAGCTTCAAGTTGTGTTCACGCTGACGTTAGGATGAGATGGAAACCTACTGTGTATAAATACTTTTGGTTTTCAAATAATCTATTTTTGAAATGTAATTTTAAAAACATGTTATGTAGTAATCTTTATTTTCTCTGTTTGCCTCTTGTCGTTTCTGTCTTGGTGCTGTAGCTGGATTTCTCCTCTGGGATCAATAAAGCTTTATTTGATATGATTTTGTGGTCAGGCAAGTTTCTATTCTTGAGTTCACTCTCACAGGACCCCGTGAGAAACCTGTAACATGTTTCCAGTTTTCCTAAAATAATATGGAAATAACATTAGGGTGCTTTATTGTGTGTTCCGAGCGCCCTTCTTCCTGCTCAGTACTTCCTAAGTGGTGTGTGATGCAGTGTTCAGCAGCACTATGCATCACAGTAACAGTACTTACTGTCTCTTGAGGACCAGTTTGCGCATGCGGATCAGGTACTGAGTGATTTTGGTGAAGCGCTGTTTGCATTTGTGACGGAGGAATCGAGGCCAGTAGATCAGGCTCTCGTCGATCTGCTCCAGAGCCTTCTCGTAGTTCCTACTGAGCTTCACCTGCACACACACAAAGAAATCAAACTGAATTTTTAACTCAAACTAAAACTGCCGCTAAGGCACCAGAAAGCGAATCTTAAGTAGGGAATAATACATTTTCCAAGCAAGAATATACTTTTGTGAAGTCCATTTACTTAGATTACAGTGATCTCAAATCCAACAGACCAATGACTTCCCCTTTGACCTGTGCAGTGTGCAGCTATTGTACAGCGCAGTCTGGGGGGGGGGGTGGTCAGGTGCCTTGCTCAAGGGCCCCACCACAGGGAGGTGAACTGGGACCTCTCCAAGTACCAGTCCACTCTCCGTACTATGGTCTCTCGGGGTTTGAACCGGCCACCCACCGGCTCCCCGCAGTCCCTACAGCCTGAGCTACTGCCACACCAAAAAAAGATAGCAGTGCAAAACATACAAGTCCAAATGTAAATCTTAATCTGTATATAGTCTGTATTTTTCAGATAACCAAGTGAATTCTAACAAATGAGGTTTTATTTGAAGTAAACATACAGGTAGAATCATCTCTGGGTAAAGAGAAACCCCATTAACTGTGAAAGAAATGAAGCTCACCTTCTCCCACATCCTGGCAGGAAAAGCTGCTCTCTCGATCACCTTCATGTAGAGGAAACACTGACCTGTAGCAGGAAATAAAACGTGTTTAGGTAGGGAATCATTCTCTTTTGTTTCATACTCGAATCAACTGTTTGTCTGTATTATTTGTTATGCTTTTGGAGGTTTTCCCTCTCCTGTAGTGTGTTCTATAGGTTTCTGTGCATGTAATGGCGCATTTCCACTACACGGCCTCGCTCGGCCTCGCTCGGTATGGCTAGGCCTCGTTAGGACTGGCTCACTTTATGGCGCATTTCCATTACAGTTTAGGAACTGGGGTAGTATCTATAGTAACGCAGTGTAGGCGGAGCCGTGACGTCATCTTCAATGAGCACCCCAGAAAAACAACACAGCCGTTAGCTGTTAGCACTCAGAGCTCACAGCTCCTCATATCTGTTCAGAAACTAGACAAAAGTTAAACAAGTACAAACCACAGACTGCCTGTGTCATGGTGAATACAGTCGCTGCTTTATTTATGTCTGTATAGGCCGTTGTTGTGAGTGTGGACGGTCGGAGCATATACTGCGTTAGCTTAGCCAATCTCCATTTAGAAAACACCCATTTTAAAAGGTTTTTCGCCTGCCGTCTGTCTGCAGACTTGTCAAAGCATTAATTCATGGTTTTTACTAACCGGTATCAGTATGTTGTTACTTCGGCATCATTTTGAAACGTGTATTACAATTAAATCACGGTCAAATATGTTCATCTTGTTGTAGTTGTAGCCCCCTTGCCAGCGATCCTCTCTCTAGTTTAGCATACTCAGCCCGACTCAGCCTCGTTGTCTCTGGCCCTAGACCCACGATTTTATGAGGCCAGAAAAACTGTGAATTAGGACCCGCTAGCCGGTACTAGGCCAAGTGGAAACGCAACCAAAAACGGGCCGCTGACGCCACAGCCCTCTTAAACCGTGCTCCGCGCTGTAGTGGAAACGCGCCATAAATGGTCTGCAAAGGCTAAAATCCCAGTGTTCCCTCCAGAGGGAGTTTCTCTCCACACACCCCCCCCCCCCCCTGCCTGAACCGCCTCCATTGGACTACTTTGTTTACTTCCTGAACATGGTGACATCACTTAGAAACACCTCTATTGACTATCGCACTATCACATTGTACGTGATAGGCTAAGGGACAGGACATCTCTAAGCAGTTGACCAATCACAACAGAGCTGGGGGTTTTTTTATGCTCTGGTTTCAGACAGAGGGTGAAACGAGGTGCTGCAGCACAGGCAGTATGAGAAACATAAAGAGCTTTTTGAACATTAAAGCATGGAGACATGTCCCAGTAGAGACACTACATACTAATAGGAACCTGAAAATGACCAGAATAGGCCCCTTTAAAGTGGAAGTGTATGACGGGTTTACCTTTCTCCTCCCTGATCGTGGCGTACTGACTGTTGGACAGCGGACAGGACGAGCGGTTGCACAGCCCTGTGATGTTGTATTCATTTCGACAGAAGCTTTGACTCTTGGTCCTGGACAGAAAGAGGAGAGAAGATGTTTTCTTAGGCCATTATCTGTGCAGTTAACAGTACACTGTTGCATTTAGGTACATAGGTCCAATTAGTTTCATCAAGTCAAAAAAGAGATGGAGACTTGAAGTAGTGACACATTCATCTACTAGCTGCACAACTATCTATTCAATTCATGAATTTGAGCAGATTAAGATTCAGACTTACTTGACTTTGAAGGAGCAGAACTGTCTGTTCCCGATAATGTCCCAGATCACCTGCAGGAAGCAGATTCAAAACATTACAGTCATACTAGGAACCTTTTTATTTGCTACAGCATAAGTGTCCACCAAATATTCATTCTTTCATGTGACTTTTTTTTTTAAAAAGCTCTCAACACTCTTCTGGTCACAGCATCACACTATCCAAATGTTGTGTGGGATTTATCTCTGTAAATGTGTGTATGCAAAACTAAAATATACTTCTAATATAATTCAAACGCAATCACATACTCCCTGGTTAATATTCCACAAAGTGCATTTTTATATAATCTTGTTGTACTAATAAACTTATAAAAGGTAGTCAGTTGGCTACATTTCTGTCATTGATAGGCTTAAGGTGGCTAGGCTAACCGTGTTAGACGAGGGAAGGGTATGCAATCCTTCGTTTACACTATGCTGAGCTACAATGTCAATAACTACAGAAAAAATGTACCCTATTAGGAGATCATCAGACATTACTTCTGTGACAGTCTAACAGTGTTATGCTTATTGTGCAAATTGCCCAACAAAAGACATGACATCCAGCCGTTTCTATGTGCTGGGGACCCCAACCATACATTTCTATCATAAAACGTTGGGGTAATCTACATTTCCGGTTTCACAACAGGACTCTGCTGGCAACCAGAGACTATATTTTCATATTATGAATACAAAATATTTTCAAAGCAAAAACATCTATCTGTAAACACTTTCTGCTGGGAAACTAAGGAAAGTGAAACATAATGATAATATACTGTACTTTTCAAAGATGTACTGTAAATAAATATAAGATAAAATATAAGATAATAATAAAATATAACGTCTTTCTTAATGTGTGTGTCGACTCATGTTCTGACAAATCTGCATGTTTACAGAGAAGCTAGACAACGTTTAAATTACCTTTTTATAATGGAGTTTGGCGTGACATTTGACATACAACTAGCATATTGACTGTCTCAGATACTATTCATGCCACTGAATTTATATCCATATATAAATAGCCTTAATTTAGTAACCAGTGTGTAGACGTTACTTTATATCCTCAGTTAATTTTATTTTTCATATCAAATTCAACAAACAGTCCATGTAGCAAGCTCAGGAGATATTTTAAATGTGATTCCTATGATTCCAGTTCTGTTTACACAAGAAATGCCAATAAATGTTGCCGAGATAAATTCAAATACGACTCTACCAGAAGGGGGATCTATACACGTTTTAAAACCACTGCAATTGTACATACAAGCAAGACAACCTGAAAATGTACTTTTTAACCACATGGGTTGGCGTCACATTTTACATACAAAATAATGGGTTCCCCTAGCTTGGTGTCAAAGTGTCTCAAATACTGTTAAAGACTACCCTTTCACCCCCATATGTTAAGTAGCTAACGTAGGCACTAAACTATTAATAATAATAATAATATATGTATCCGTTTTTAAATAGTTGCCGGTTAGCTATCGTTAGCATGAAGACCTAGCCTAGCACATGAGGAGCTTTAAATCTGATGAAACACACTTACGTCGTCGCATTGCATCTTGAGTTCCCCGTGGAGCTGCTCGCAGCTTCACCTCCACCACTGCTGTTGGTTTTATTATATTGATTAAGTTGATGTTAAGCTATCATTGAGTGTTTCTGTCTCAGAAGGAGCCACATGGACGATCATGGGCGATATCTCTTCTTCTTCGTTGGTGCGTCACGGCAGCCGGTCATGTCGCATTGCTGCCTCCTCTGGCAGTAGACCGGATTGTCTCCAAGAAGTTTTGCATGCATCGTCATTTGCCTTCAAACTGTGAAATATTTCTTTCTGGTATTATATTCCTTGTAAATGGAAAATAATTTCTAGTATTTCAAGTACTAGTTAGTTTGTGTTTGTTTGTACAACTTTCCAAACATATATTTGGATATATACTATATGTACTTTTATTGTTATCCCTATTCCACTTAAACTTTATAAATGCAATAACTTAAGACCACAGCTCTTGAAGTTTGGTTATTAAAGTAACACCAATCACTGGAATAGTTCCCCCTGTTTCAGGATCAGAAGGGCTGAGGCGCAGAGCGTAACAAGGGGAGGGCTGCACCTGTCACGGATGGACCGTGAACGCACCATTCATCACTTTCATGAACCAGAAAGATCACACTGTGAACCTGCCCTGAGGCTCTCTGTCCCTCCTCTCCAGCTCTCTGACTGACGGTGTCACAATCTAATACTCTATACTCTAGTGGAGAGGACACTGAGGGTCCCGTCCACAGTGAGGGGACAGAGAAGAACGGAGGTCGTTCTCCCAGGAGCTGGGGAAAACCAGGGTGTCCTCACAGATTGTGAGAAGAAAACCCCCCGTGGTGGTGGATGGTGGGCCGGACCCTCAGTGTCCTCTCCACTTTCAGATGAAGGGTCAGAGGAACTCAAAGAAATGCTGGACTCCAGAGAGCATTCAGTGTCAGACCCACCCTCGAAACTTCAGATGAGTCCTGCAGCTCGCTGGCAGAAGAAGGCTGCAAGATTATTTCTGAAGTCTCCTCTGCACTGAAATGCTTCTTCATTTGAGTTCCTTCTCTTTGCTCCAGGTCTTTCTCCTTCTCTGCTCACTAATGAAATAAGCCCTTGGTCAAACTGCATGTTTATCTTTGGCAGCCAGGTGCATAAACACACTAACAGTTGTTTTTTGTTTTTGAGTAATCAAGCAGCTCTTCAAAGACACATCAAACACATCCCTCAAAAGATGGCCTTTTTTTACCCATGAAATGATCCATGCATGCTTACAGATTCTCACACACACGGAGAGGTAGGAGAGGTGTGTGCTCGTTGTGCACAGGCCTAAAATATTGTTGTTCTATCACCTGAGAGAGCACCAGGTCACATGCTGCAGGACCTGCTGGTCTGCTGCTGGAAATGACACACACACACACACACACACACACACACACACACACATCTCTCGGGGCCCCCTGGTAGTCACACAGCTCCATAATATAACTGGCAAAAATGTAAGAATTTCATGCATCGGCCTACAGTGGGAAAATGGTGTAATCTGTTGGAATAGCGTAGAAATATCAAATATCACTACTTTTCTTCTAAATGAAATGCTGACATTACAAAAAGCATGGTTTTATACTGCAATGGCAGTGAGATAAAAAAAATGTGGTCTGAATGGAAGTCAATGAGGCATTTTTGAGATAAATGAAATAATTAAAATAATTAAACAGGCGTTTAAAGAGTTAAGATCCTGCCAATGATTGAATGTTTGGTAGTTTTGAGTACGTTAGAAGTTGTATATGTGATTCATGAAAAGAAAAGTAGAAAAAGATATTGATGTATGATGATTTAATAGCAGCTGTTTGGGGCGTGTACATTTTTGCCACAAAGGTGTCCAGAGGTAGTATCTGACACTACGTAAAAATTAATAATGCAGTCAAATCAATTTTGTTGCTAATCTTTGACACATCCAAGACTCTAATAACCACCAAAGTTCCATCCCTCTACACAGGAAATATTGGTGAGTATTTTTTCCAGAGTAATTACTATTTTGCTCTGAAATAGTGATATTTAATCATTTTGGAGTGTATTTATTACTCATAGCTTCTAGAGTGCGATCAAAAATGCAGAGTCAATTCTATTGGAGTTAAACCATGACCACGCTGTAACGGAGGTGATCTCTGGGGCCATAGATCTCGGTCTCCGTTACGGATTATATAGCTTCATTATTGGCGAAGTATATTCATTTGTTCCACGCTAAAACATTGCACAGGAAGCATGTGATTATATGTCATTTATGCATATATTTGTCACAATCTGTCTATGTTTTAGTTTGTCTGTCTCTGTTTCCTGTTTTAGTTTGAAAAGTGTTCCCTCTCCCGTCTTGTCTGTTGCTGGTGATTGCGTTCACCTGGTGCCCTCTGTTTCTCCTCCCTCCTCACCTGTGTCTTGTTGGTTTGATTAGTCCTGTGTGTATTTAGGTTCTGTTTTCCTGTTAGTGTGTGTGTGTGTGAGATCCTTGGTGCTGGTGACTGTGTTCACGTGAGACAGTCATATTGAGGCTGTGTATCCTGTACCACAAAGAGGAATAAATGCCCACACCGGGTTGTATTTGAACTCTCTGCCTCTGCCTCCTTGCTTGGTTGGGCCGCTCAATGGTCAGCTTCACACACGCCCACTCATGTTCCTTAAGCACTTTGGTTTATTGACCTTTTTTATTGTAAAGATCATTATGGTTCATTTATTCTATTCTGAGTAAAATTACCTTCTGTTGGGAGTAAAATTACCTTCTATTGGGAGTAAAATTACCTTCTATTGGGAGTAAAATGACCTTCTATTATGAGTAAAATGGCAGTAGAGTTGTTTTTAATATACACTATAGAGTAAATAACCATTAAGCAGAGTCAAATCTAAGCACATAATAGAGTAAAATGAACTCTAAAAATACAACTCTGAAGAAAGAGTACATTTTACTCTATATAGGTTGGGACCAAATGTTATATTTTTAGAGTAACATTTTCTTCAATTTGAGTCAATTTTACTCAGAGAAATTTACTGTGTACTAATTATTATATTGAAAGAAATTCATTTTTTGTGTTTTTTTTTAAGAGAAATTAAATAATTCAAATAATAAAACAGGCATTTAAAGGGTTAAAATCCTGAACATTATTGAATGTTTGGTAGTTTTGAGCACGTTAGAAGTTGTTCAAGTGATTCATGGAAAAAAAAGTTTAATAAAATATTGATGTATGATGATTTAATAGCAGTTTTTATGAGCGTGTACATTTTTGCCACGAAGGGGTCCAGAGGGTGCAAAATGCATCACGAGAGTATACAAAACATGTAAGAGTAAACGACATTGGATTTCAAATATTTGACTCAAAAGAAGACTTCTTGCAAAAATTCATGCCAAAAGCAGCTGAAATGAACACCAAATCAAAAAAAAAAGTCAGGAAAAATGTACAAAAATGCCTGAGGAGGGCACAAGGGTTAAAGGTCGTCAGGGCCAGGGCAGTGGTACAAACAGTACTCAGATCTGTTACAGGTAAAAGTCCTGCATTCAAAATTGTACTTAACAAACCTGTTACAAATGTGTTGTTCAACAAATTTGAGCCTTTGCCACATTTATTTGATCACCATGGAAACCTTTGATCTCTGGACATGTCGTTAGCTCAAATATAAACACCTGTGTCATGGAACACGATGATGTCATAACTCCAACTGACATGCTCAGAGCAGCAGACTTCAGATAATGGTTAATGGTCCTGCCCTCAACAGCTCTACGTCAATTATGTGGTGTCATCATATGTTGTTTCCATGGAAACGCATCCCTCGCCATAAAACACGATGTCGCTGTAACTCCAATGGACACGGTCCGATCGTCCCCCAAACTTCGCTTGTATATCACCGGTCCATGCCTCAACAGCTCTACGCCAAATCTGAGATCTCACCATGGGCTGTTGCCATGGAAACGCATCCCTCGCCATAAAACACGATGTCGCTGTAGCTCCAATGGACACGGTCCGGTCGTCCCACAATCTTCACTTGTATATCACCTCTCCATGCCTCAACAGCTCTACGTCAAATCTGACATCTCACCATATGCCGTTTCCATGGAAACGCATCCCTCGCCATAAAACACGATGTTGTCGTAACGCCTATGAAAAGGGTCAAAACAGCACCACACTTCACATAATGGTTAACGGTCCAGCCCTCAACAGCTCTACGTCAATTATGGGGTTTCATCATATGCCGTTTCCATGGAAACGCATCCCTCGCCATAAAAGACAATGTCGCTATAACTCCTATGAAAATGTTCAAACGGTGCTCAAACTTCACATGTGTGCTAACAGTCCAGCCGTGAAGACATCTACGGGACAGTTTTGAGATTTCTTCAAATGCCGTTGCCATGGCAACACAATGCTCGCCATGAAATACGGTTTTCTCATAACTTCAGTGAAAATGCTCCAAATGGCCCAAAACTTCACAGGTTTGGTAACGATGCAGCCATAAACGCATCTAAGCGTATTATGGGATGTCATCAAATGCCGTTGGCATGGCGACAGATCATTCACCATCAAGTTAGTTCAAAAGTTTGCAGTTCAAATATTCTGCTACTTTTCCAAGCCTTTTTACTTTCTTTTCTTCTCTCATCAGACATTCAAGCCCCCAGTGTGCATGTATCATTTCAATCTAAATTCTTCACTTTCTTCTTACACATTACATTTCAGCATAGCAGTTTAGCGTCAGCTTTTCAGCATAAAGCATTCCCATTAGCAATTTCTTGAGGAATTGCATTCTCTAGTTACATGTCAATATGCCTGTATTAGTTACTTTATATTTTATATTAGCTATAATAATCTGAATCTGTAAAGTCACTCAAGCAGCCAAATAAATGTATTTTATACAAATATATGTGTCCCCGGTGTGTAAGGGAACTCATAAAGTGTCAGTAAAATAAAACCCTCTCTCTTTTCCTCCGTACCCAAATCTCTAAAAATGGGGGTACAACGGAGCTGATCCAGATTTGCAGAAACAATGCGCAACGTGTTTTGGATGTAATATGGTCTTCTTTGTTTACATTAGCAAGCATCGCTAACACTCAGAGCTAAGCTGTACTGGAGAGAGTATGTGTAAAGAAGCAGGAAATAAAAAAAGGAACTCACCTTGTGGTAAACCTGCAAGAGAAAAAGCATTTGAGCTCCATACTGTTTCAGAAAATAA